CTTTGTAACTCTTAAGATGTCTAATGCTTTCTTTTTCTGGCTATGATGCTTGTATCCCTGGTTATTCTTGAATATGTGCCATACTATTTTGTTTCCATCCATTAACTTGGGTGCATGTTCTTGGTTTCTGCCTACCCTCAAGGAGCCAAATTGCTAGCTTATGGCTTATTTGTCACTTGAATTCCTTGACACACACAGAGCACGTACATATAGATTTTGCCTCCAACTACTCATTTATGCTAGTTTCTTCTTGTAAGTTATAATTGATGGGTCTATATGCTATCTAAATTGATTAGTTTGTGTATAGTATATCAATTTTAAGTTTTGTTTCTGCCTAACTTGAATTGGTTTAGAATTAGCGGTTTTAAATTTGGGTTTTTAAATTTCGTTTTAAATTTAAGTTGAAATTATTAGCATGTGTATGGTAAGTTAAATCTCTGTGTAGAAACAAATTCATTTCCAATTTTGTAGATGTCACACCTCATTAGAACCCGGAGGGCAATGACTCCTACACCTAGTCCGACGACTACACCTACTACTGCCGCTACTGCTCCGGCAGAGCTAGACCATAGGTTGGTCAATCTGGTTGACCCAGTTGGTCCTTCAGTCCCACAGGCGCAGGCATCATCGACTTCTTCGGTGGCATTGCCTGTTAGCGCCCAACGTACTAACTGGCGCCCCTGCACTACTGACCAGATGTCACCATCGGGATCCACAACCGATGCCTCAGGTACACGGCCAGGTATACAATCCTAATTCACTCCCTCGTTCCCATGTTAATTGAATTTTGTTATTTTAGGTTCAATTTGTTATATGTCATGTCATGTAAGGATTAAAAAGTTGTCATTGTTTTGAACCTTTTATTAAATTGTTGTGATCATTGTGTTGGATGCGTATATTGTTTATGTTATTTTCAGGGTTTTGGGAAATGTTTTAATTATAGGGGAGGTTATGCCGAAATTTTAGTATGATTTGTTAGTAGTTTTGGGTTAATGATTTTTTTTCATCTCTTTGCAGCGAAGAAAAACACCTGGGGACCTTGTCAGCAATTGAAGACGGCGAAGGTCAACTGTCGTATCCTAATGGGATACGATGAGCGACATCGGGCAACACCAATGGCGGAGCAGCATAGTGCATTGGCCCACGACATTGGGCATGTCGTGCGAACCTTTTGCCCTATGCGGTGGAAGTCTTGGAAGGCAATGATGGAGGAGACGAACTTAAGTCTTGGAAGGCGATGCTGGAGAACACGGTGCACAACCAATTATCCATAAGTAGCGTTGCCTTTTTAATGCTTTTCATGTAAAATTTATATATTTATATTTATTACTGTCTTTTATTAGTAATACTTTCAAAATATTTGTTACATTGCAGACAAACTACAATTTGGAGGACATGGACAATGACTTGTTCGCATACCTCAATCGGCTCTTCTCCGAACACTACAAGCAGTGGAAGAGTGACCTGCACCAATATTTCCAACAATTTGATGATCTGCAGGTTGTTCTCGAGAAGGGTTGTCCGAAGGAGTTGAAGGACCGACAAGATAGTTGGGTTTGGCTTTGCGGTCATTTTCAGGAGCCAGACTATATGGTGCGTTTTTAATTACGACTTCTTTCATTTTACTTTTTTTAATTTTTACTAATGTTTATTATTATTTTTTTTAATTTTCTTTAAGTATTACAACTAATACGTTTATTTTTTTTATAACAGAAGAAGGCGAAGGCGAACAAGATCAATCAGGAGAAGAAGATTTTTCTCCACCATTCGGGTTTGAGGCCTTTCTCCTATAAGATGGAGGCATGACGGAAAGTATATATTACATCTTTCATTTCCAATTTTAAAATGTCGCTAATATTTTTTTTTTTCTTACTAACATTTCCCTTATCTTTTACAATTTCAGGAGGGTTCAAAATTTCCAGCAATCGACGTCTTTGCTGACATTTATGTTCGGCTTGGGCATGAGTTGACCGAGTCCCTTCATGTAAATAATTTCTTATGCATTCAACATTTATACTAATTATTTCAAATAGTTTTCTATAAATAATCCATGTTTTTTTTCACAGACGACTATGGTGGAGAAGAGTTAATCAGTGCTTCAAGAGTCCACCTCCCAGCTTCCTTCGGACACGCCGACTGAGTCTGTCGATCCCCCAAAGGATGCAAGGTTTCACATCATGACAGAGACGTTGGACCAGACTTTTGGTCGGAGGCCAGGGACTTATTGTCGGGGGATAGGAAATGTGAGGCGGCGGGAGAGTAGAGCCTCATCATCCTCGCAGTCAAAGGGCCAGGTTACGGCTTTGATATAAGAAGTTGCTGGCCTAAGAAGTGAGCTGGCCTAAGAAGTGAGCTGGCCTAAGAAGTGAGCGGGCATCATACAAGTCTCAAATGTTGATGCTTGTACAAGCCCTCAGTTCCTCCGAAATACATCTCTCTGGTTTTTCTGCACCATCGCCCTCACAACCTTTCCACACCGAGCAAGCACAACAATCAGGCCCGTCGACCTTCGACCCCGTCCCCAACCAGTAGCAAGATCCTTCGAACGACATTCCTATAGATTTTTCCGCTTTTTTCTCATAGTTTTGTTCCTGCTTTCTTTTAAAACTTTATATTTGCACTTACATTTTTATTTATGTTATAAATAAAATTTACTTTTTATTTTTTTGTCATTATTATGAAATCTTTTTTTTTAATTTTCTTTTATACTATTTATTTTTTTTAATAAAAATTTACATTTGCACGACCTCGACCAGTCGTTGCGCAAAATTAAGCGCGTCTTATAACTTTGTCGCGCATTACCACACGCCTCTAACATTTTTCATTGCACAAAATTTTTGAGACGAACTAGTCACAAAGTGCACTCGTACCTTTTTATATCGTACGACAAAAACCTTCATCCGTATAACTTTAGCGTGACGAGTAGTAAAGCGTCGCGCCATTTTTTCTTTCGCGAAGAGTTTGAAATTGTTTGTAGCGCAATGTCTTTTTTCACGACCTTTGCGCGACAAAATACGTGCAACGATTTTCTGGTCGCCATAGTTTTTGTGCGACCTAATAATGATTTGCACAACAAAATCTTCCTCGTCGCGCAAACTGTTTAATTTAGTAGTGTTGTCAATGTCGAGCGAAACATTTTTGCATGACGTAATAAGCTTTGTCGTGCAATTTTCCGTACACAAGTGTGTTTTTGTACTAGTGTTAACATTTATAGGGTCTTTCCAAAAGATTATATTATGAATCCCTAAATATCTACCAGTTATTAGTGTTATTACATAAATAAAAAGAAGATTTATGAAACTTTATTTTCTGATCAGAAATTGCGGAAAAAGCATTCAGTACCTTTAAAATGTTCATAGCAGCCACACCAGTTGCCCTTGCAAAAACTAAGCAGTCAGCTGCAAACTTTAGATTAGTTATTTTATAACCTCTCTGGGAGAGGTAATGAGCCCCACATTAGTCCTTGAGCTTTTTCCAATCCTATCTAAGTGTCTAATTAAAGGTTACGCGCATAAAATGAAAATGTAAGGTGATAATGGGTCACTTTGCCTAATTCCCGTAGAGGGATAGAAATATCCATGAGTTTTACCATTCATAAGAATTGAGAAGGAAGTAGAGGTTATATACGTTCCCTGATTAAGTTAATCCAATGGTTATTAAAACCAATTTTTTGTAAAACAACCCTAATGTCATCCCAACTAATGAAATTATAGGCTTTTTCTAACTCTAATTTAATAGTCATTGCTCCAATTCTACCCATTTACCTTTTTTTTTTTTTTTTTTTTTTTGTTTTTTTGAACAAACGATATTAGTTACACTAAGGTGAATGGGTTGGGCTAATCCTCACAATGGGCTAGTAATAATATGGTTCAAATTCGCCTTTGGCGAGAATCGAACCTAAGACCTTTCACTTACAAGTGAAGAGAAATACCATCAGACCGTAATGCTATCCTTTTTACCTTTAAAAGAGGAAAAAACCTCATGGGCAATAAGAATGTTGTAATGAATTGATCTTCCACAAGCAAAAGCTCTTTAATTTTTAGAAATACAGTCAACCAGTAAAGGTTTAATTCTATTTAACATAATTTTAGTAATAATCTTGTAGATTACATTGCATATACTAATAGGTCTAAAATTAGCAACAACCTCAAGATTCTCCAATTTAGGAATAAGACCAATATTCGTATGATTAATTAATCTCAATCTTGAGCAACTTTCAAAGAAATCTTTAACCATATCGCATCTATTATAGAAGGTCCTCCAATATATATCCCAACAATTTTGGTAGAAAGAAGCATGGATGCTTCCAGCAACATATGAGAGAGTCTCAAGGGAAAAAAAAACAAAAAAACTGGTCGATAACTTATAATAAAATAAAGTATGGGAATTGTTATTAGCACTCTAAAAATCTCATTTTGCACTCCATACTTTCTATAATTAGAAAGAAAATTACACATGTGAGGAGTGTAGAATGAGATTTTTGGAGTGCTAATAACAATTCCCTAAAATATAAAGAAAGTTAAATTATTATTAAATAACAAAAATTCTTATTTTGACTCCTTAACTTGATTTGTCCGATGAGAAATGTGAGCCAGCCTTCTGGAAACGGTGAATTCAAAATATAATGTCCTTCTTTTGTATTTGTTAAAATAGCTAATGTTGTTGAAGATGTTAAGTTAAATTAACTAGCTATTGTAAACTTTTGACTCTATTAAATAGCCAATTTAACATGAGTTTAACACAATTTCAGTAATCAATAGTACATGGATTTTCTTAATTCCCTAGATAGTTGTACATTTGGTTTAGAACTAAACATTTTTGTGCTAGCTTCACTGGCAAACATCATACAAAATCGAGATCCACTTACAAATGAGAGATGTAATCAACAATGCTTACTCTTTGTTCTCTCTTTCCTTTTTTTTCACTAACTTCTTTTCACTAACCAGAAAAAAATATGAACAAAAAGAAAGTTTGGTGTAGTATATTATATTGTGTTTGTACTAGTACTCATAGAAGCTATGTCTTTGAGGCATGCATTCGTCAAATTCCAGTCTTGGAGCAGCACAAGAGTAACCCTTTCTGAATCTGTTGTTTTTGCTTCTAAGCACATTCACTTCCACTGAAAACACAGCACACACGGGTCTGTGATCGGAGAATCTCGACTCCCCGCGAATATAAGATAATTGCTCAAAGCCATCCCCGCGCCATAGTATCCGATCGCACCTATAATCAATTCATTTCACAAAGATCAAAACACCGCTCTAATTTTAAGCTAATTGAAAAAATTAATTAGGATTAATGTTCTCTTGCCAAATTTATGTTGCCAGATTACAGTCTAGATCCACAGCTTGACAAGAACTAATTATCTTAAATATCTAGACATTCTGACAAGAGAACATTTCCCACCAAATTAATATTCTACTTAATTTTTTTCTGGTAGTAAATTAAGGGGAGAGGATTATACCATGCTGGGGTTCGTCGTTTCTTCTTGGACTTGGTAGTTTCTCCAGCGTAAGAGTCTGAGTTATGAGAGTACTTGTAAGTGGGGGCAAAGAAGATTTGTCCCTCCTTGAACCCATTAAATACCCTCCCAGCTTCTCTCTCCATATTCAACTGCATGCATTTGTTAATCAAAATCAAACACACGAAGTGTAATTTATAAGAAGACTAATTAAGGCCATTCTTCAGTGTAGTTCACATATGCGAATAAATTAATCCACAGGAAATGTGTTTGAACAAAAGCAAATCAACTAAGTGAATCATTTAATATTGGATGGGAAGTTTTGAGCACTACTATTTTATAAGAGTATTATAACTGATCACGCAATGTGTCATCTTGTCTTCTAAGCTCTAAATGAAATGGGTTTCTTCGTATAAGTGGATTACACTTATCTTTATTATTAACGAGATGATACATATGATTACTTGAGTTTGTAGAAATAGTTTTATTCCCAAAAAATAGCTTCAAGTTATATAGAAGCGATAGGCAATAAACTATTTAGATCACATGTGTGTGCATCCATATATAGGTAGAGCCACATGTGTTTCTGAATTTGACTTCTAGCTAATGAAAGAAAACTTAGTGTATACCCTTTTTAATTACTTGAGCACCAAAATAAGACAAGGGTATACACGACGAGAAGAATAATTTATTTTATGAGTAATGTGGTTTTAAATGTCATTCATAGATGTGACCTAGGCTAACATACTCATCTAGAATGGGGCACTAAAACAAACCTGATCTTTTTCTAAAAGGGTGTCCCAATCATTATCCTCCAACAAAACTCTTGTTTCTTCATAGCTCAAAGCCACTCGATAATTCAAATCTCCAAGCCATATTATCCTTCTGCAAAATTATATATAATCAGAGGAACACTAACTATTGATCAGAACCAAGCTGAACACATACTATCAATTCAATGAATGAATAAATAAATCAGATTTTTTTGGAGTGTAAATAATAGCTTTTTGAAAACTTGTATTGAACGAAAAAGAAAAGCAAAACAACATCAATTATCCTGCAACCATCTTCATATAGAGTAATATGTACGTACTCATGATCGGTTATTCTTTCGCAAGGGCGACGGTATGGATTCTTGCAAACCTTGGGAAATTGTGCGCTTTTAAGGATCTCAATCACGTCGGCATTCCTTTTCAGCTCATCACCTTCCTTCTCCCCGGAAGCCAAGTGACTGCACACGAAGCAAAAGCTCGTTTGGTGCAATGTCATGCTTATTGATATACATCCCTGCAAATTAATGCGACAATTTAACAATCAAGGCTACATTTACCATAGGAATAAAATGATGAATCATGATTTGTTGCCATCCTTTTAATTATCATAAACAAAGACTATATATTTGTATCATATTTGTTCATTACATTGCAGACTAATGACATCTCCGAATAGAACTGAAACCCAACTATATATATTATAATCAAGATTTGTAATTCGAAAAGTTGTATTTCAGACCGATGGACAAAAGTGACACTAAAGTTTTGTATACTGATGGAAGCCACATAAGGAGACTCAAACGTCATGTAGCTCATATCTCTATTAGCGAGATGAGATGTTACACTAGATGGTATAAGTTGACATCGCATATAAATTTTTATCTAAAGTTTTACCAACCTTATTTCCGAGGCAGCCCATTATTCCTCTTCCAACCGTGGAGACTCTGAGATGGCCAATGTGAGGTACTAACTCCTTTCGAACCCAAACCGATACGAAAATACCTACCATCTTCTTGCTTGTTATAAGGCGGTAATTCATGTCGCTTGAGGAAGATGGGGACTGAATCCCAGCAATTGCAAGAAATTCATCTACACTAGTGTCGCTTCCAGAAGTAAGCCGAGGAGAAATTGAGCCTAATTTACTAGTAGGATCACTGAGCTTTCTTATTCGCCGCCTTTCGTGAGATGGAAATTCCACGGGGCAGTTGCAAGACTTGAGAAGGCTACTATTTGCCTTGAAGCTTTTGCTAAGAGCTTTGAGAGAAGGCTTCTGGAAGATGTTGAGACTGCCTGGGGACTTGGATTCCTTGTTGTTATTCAATGAGTTGTTGGAACCATGGCCTGATGAATCGGAGGAAGAATGCATATTATAGGACGCATTTTGGGGTTTATTAAGTGCTTGGCTTATGAGGGCTAGCCATTTTGCTGCTGGTTCATTGTCCTCGATCACTAAAACGTTTCCGGCACTCAAAGGAACAATTTCCTGAAACCTTATGATATATAAGAAGAAAAATACAGTACTGTTAATTAATTAGCCGCCCATAAGGTTAATTTTCTGTGGTTTTTTTTTTTTAATTGAAAAAAAACGAGTGATGGTGGTTTTCTTACGTACCCTAAAACATAGATGTCGGAAGACCCCTCCACCTGCAAGAAATCTTGGAGGTTCAGGCCATTGTTGGGTGACTTTCCTCCCACGTTCCATGTCGCAACAAATATACTGCGACGCAATGAACCACAATTTTCAATATTCATTGAAGGCAACAAATAAATTAATAAATCCTATATATATAGGATATACGTATTTTTATTTATTTATTTATACAACCTCATGTCTTAGTCTCATATATAGCTAGAAGATGATGTCTTACCGGAATTCTTTTGTCTCAGTTGCTGGCGCCATAGAGAGTTCGAAGTTTGATAGGTTTAGGCTTTCAATCCCCGGACTAGTCTGTCTTTCTGAGAGTAGATAAGAAAGGAACACCATCTTTAGTCTTTAAAATTTTCAATTTGCTCAAATCTCAGAGTCTACTTATAACCAAGTTTTCCTATATGACAAAGGTCCAAGGTCGAAATAAAGCAATGAACCACAAAGTCTACTTAAATCAACTTTCTCATTCACGAAATAATAATACTTAAGACATGTTTCCTTATATGAAATTGATATTAGAATTATTTGATCTTTGACTTTAATGCGTTTACTAATATCTGAATTATTTAAATTATTTATCCTGACTTTAGAGTGTTGTGCCAAAAATCAAACTTTTTTTTCTCCCTTCAGGTCAGAATACGCCCAATGATACTACAATTTATAGAAGATGATTTTGGCACCCCTCACACCGGCCTTACTTTATTTATGAACTCTTTGGACTAGATAAATTAAAGGAGGGACGTGATTTTTATTTTTTGACAAACGATAGCGTTAGTGTGTTAAATTGTTAAATGATAAGGGGGAGGGGATCTCTAGAGATCGAATCTGCATCAGAGTGTATAAGCATTATTGCTCCACCATCTGCAAAGCCGGATGTAAATAAATAGAGGTGTGCAAAAAAAGGTATGTAGTTATTGTTTTCCTAATTTATTTGGTAAATAAGGCCTAATTGTTTCCTCTATAAGCCGATTTGGCAAGGATTTTTTGTCAATCAAATAGGAAACTAGTTTCCGAGTCGCTCAAAGAGATGGGTTTGGCTTTTTAGCCAAAATAGTCCTTCACATAACTCCTCACTTAATTGGTCTCTAACAATGAAAATCTATAGAAGTGGTCCCTAAGTTTGTTTACCGTAAATCATTTTGATTCTTCTGTGAAAAATCTATCTATATGCTCATTCAGTGAAGGAGTTGGTTTGACAAAAATACCTTAAAAGATGGGTCACTTGATCGTTCATGTGACAATTTAACGAGGATATTGACATATTTTTTTTTTTACAGAAGGACCGAAATAATTTACAGTGGATAAATTCAGAGACCACTCCTATTGATCTTCATTATCGATAATTAAAGTGAAGAATTATGCTAATTTTGAAAGAACATTTTGAATAAAAAGCAATGGGTTTCACGCAAGTCATCTCAACTGATCCCAAAAATATTTCATAGATTTTTTACTATTTCTTCTCTACATCAAAAGCACTTTCCAATGAGCATTACTAGTAGCACGCTCGCAATTCTTTACAATTTCTCGCCTATTCCAGTCTCCAAAAAATAAACCTTTATTGCATTATTTCAATCCTTAGAGCATTTCCAAAGGAATTAGCAAAATTGTTCTTTAAAAGTATCATTTGCTAAGTTCTGACCCATTTCCCACTGTTATGATACTATAAATATTTGTCACTCCTACCCACTCTTCAAACCAACTTGTTCAAATTTTATCTTTCACTTTGAAAAATTAATATCTTAACTTTATCTTGTGGGGCTCAAATTTTATTTTCAAACTCTTTACTAAACAATAATTTTGAATTAAATATGCTGTGGAACCCAATTTGTTAATTTGAAAAAAAAAAAAAAGAGTTATTAATTCTTTAATTTGCTATTGAGTTGCTACCTCCGTTTGAATGCATTTTTCCTACCTGACATAACAAATCTATTTTGCTATCCAAATACTATAACTTTGACATTTGGTGTATGTACTATTGCTCCCTCTAAATACAAACATATTTTCAATTGGTTATCAAAACAGATTGTTGTTATGTAAGCTAGAGTCCCTCCGTTTGAGGTAAGTGGCCTGTCTCTTTCGTTTAGATTCAATCTAAGTCTGACCAATCATCCATCAATTAAAAAAATAGATAAAAGCATTTTCTAAGCTTGATTAATTTCATCTATAACGTGATTATAATGCACTATAATCTTCAATTATATGCTTAAACAGCATACCTGAAAAATTCTTTCTAATGAAGGGAGTTGCCTCCATGAAAGCTTTTCTCCTTGCAGCAATCTTTTTCTCAAATTCTATTAAAAAAAAAAAAAAAGCAATAATTATTTGAAAAGATCAATAACAAATAGGAAGACAGATATCATTATATATATTTGAGAGATGGAGATACCAAGATCAATTATCCCATCCCCATCTGATTTGTATATATCTTCATCTGAGCCGTCCCTCCCACTTCTCTTTGAACCAAAAATCCTAGGAATGATAGACTTCATCCCAGAACATACATGGTTAAAATTAAAATTAAAATAATTTTAGGAAAAGCTAAATGAATGAAAGTAGGAAAAGAAATAAAAGTTTAACCAGAAAACGAAAAATGTATACCTTCTTCTTCTTTTCATTCTTGGTAGAGTTATCGGAGGCGGAATCGGCGTCGTCTTTGGTCATTTCGAGGTTGGCATCTCCAACAGAGGAAGACATTCATCCGTTGATGTTCTCTATCAAATAATTTTGTTAGACATGCACTTTCAGTAAGTATCTTGTTAATTTGTAATTATCTCATCTCCGATATTATACTTCTGAAATTTCTTTTCTGGATTTGCTCTCTTCATCAATAATGTGGCTGTAATTATTATTATTATTATTATTTTTGGGAGTTTGCTTAATGAGATTAATGATTTTCTTCCCTTTTTTCCATTATCCTTTTTTTTCCTTTCCGTTCTGTTTTTTTTTTTTTTTTTTTGGGAAAAACCTTTCCATTCTGTTTGGAAGGATGAGAATTTGGCGGCAAAGCTTTCGGAGAACTTAGGACGGTTAAGAGGAGAAACCGTTAGTCACAGTGCACTTTAAACCCATACCCTACCAACTGTACACAACACGCAGTCGTTGTCATGTTTCATCCAAATTTTCTCTTTAATTACTTTATCTACAATATTGTTTAAAAAAAATACATGTGTGTGTCTAGAGAGTCTAGACTAGGGGTGGTTTTATTGATATTGCACAGTTTGTCGAACACACTTAGGGCTGAAAATGATTTGAGTTCAACTGAATATCATTGTGCTCAAGTTTGGTTTGTTAAATTTTTTCGAGCTCGGACTAAGTTTGGTTTGTTTCTTACATGAACGGAGCCTAAACGGATGATCCAATAATGATCCGATTAGTTAACGTGTTGATTTTATTTTCATATTGGGCTGGTTACGAAAGAAATTGCCATGTCTAATGCAAACACTTACTCTGGAGCATAGAAACAAATCTATACAATTCAAAAGCTCCTTAGTTGTGATTGATTACATCATGCCGATGGAAACCATCCTCATGTTTGCGGTTTCGAGTTAAATCAATTGTTTAAAGTAACAATTTTAACCCCTTTTTAACAGAGGATTAACGGAAATTCAAAAAAATTCAAAAAAAAATCAAAAAAATTAAAAATTGTAGATGGGGTTCATCATAGGTCTTTAAGTAACAATTTCACCACAAAGGTCCCATTAAAAGGGAAAGAGATCCTCTCCATATCTCTTTCACCAAGGTCACTGAATCAAGTGATCCGGGTCTTTGAAATTTGATCTAACGGCTAAAGTTATTATACCTTTTAAAGGGGTCCCTGTTTTTAGCCATTGAATCAAATTTCAAAAGTCCGAATCACTTGATCCGGTGGCCTTGATGAAAGAGATCCGGAGGATCTCTTTCCCACTAAGAGTACTCTATCTCCGTAGGGAGAGAAATTGGTCTTCAAGTTTTAATGAGGACACATGTACGATTACAAAAATGAATGAATATATGAAAAATGATAAATATATTGTAGATATTATATTAAAGCGTGATTGTAAACATCGTAATAGATTTGGTTGATAATTATTCTTTATGAATGAATATATGAAAAATGATAAATATATTGTAGATATTATATTAAAGTGTGATTGTTTACATCCTAATAGATTTGGTGAATAATTATTTTCTCTCTCTATAGGATTGTATTTACTTGGAGGACAAGTAATTGCTCTCCTCTTTACTACTATAAATAAAAGCACTATGTAAGAGAATATTACACACATAAATGTCTACACTTTCTCCACTCTCTCTTTGGCCGCACCCCTCTATTCCTTGTCAGTAAAATAAGCCACAAAAAATTCATTTTAGCTTCTCACACTCCTGTTTAATTATGTCTTACTTTCGTTAGATTTATTCAATTCAATGATCATAAATTAAAAAAAAAATGTGTGAAAAGCTAATATAAATGTGTGAAAAATCACCTTCACCTTCAGGGAACATTGACTATTTTTCAAACATTAAGCTTTGGCCTTAGTAAAAATATAGTTTTTTCAAGCACTTACGCTTGAAGGGCGTCCCATTCGGTTTGAAAAAACTCATCCATAGATTATAGAGAAATGTAACATTTATCTTGTTAGTTATTGACATGACTGATAACTAAACTACATGCCAAACACATTAATTAAACACGTATAAAATTAACACTATGCTTCTTTTCACATAATGTTTTCTTATCAAACCGTACGTACAAAACTTCTCTAAAACATTCACTCCATAGCAAGATTTACGATATAAAAAAGTGAGGGAGTGGGGGTTTATTTACAAGGAATTAACTTTGGCAACTTTGACAAGAAGTTTATCAAAATATAGTTCTGTGATCGATTTACGAAATTTCGTGTTTATCATTGAAATCGTTAATAATGTAAATCACTATGAATAGATCATATTAGTGAGATCATTTAGTTTTTTAATTGTATAAAAACAAATGGACGGATTTGATAAAAGCATTACGAACCGTATATTTATTTGTTACAAAAAAATACCTTAATTTTAATTGATTTTTTTGCACAATTAATATTTTGGAGCGATTTAATCATGAACGATTCCAATTAAAAATAAAAGTTTTGTGCATCGGGTATAAAATGTTTTGAGGATGACCTGCTCGTCAAGCATGAGTAGCCGAGCATTATTCTATTTAGAAACCTAATTCTCAAAGCTCCACCCTCATTGTCCAAGAGACGATTAGAAGCCTGATTTGCTTATTGACAATCAATGGTAATTATAAGGTAACTAGAGGTCAATGTCAGATGTAAAAATATTTTCTTCATCGGGCCGATAGAGACAGGCGCCTACTTGGGCCTCTTTGAGGAGAAATTCTTACATTGATTCGATCGGTGGTTTATTTTTCTGTTTATAAAGTAGCACTGAAAAAACAAATAAGTTGGTCAATATTATCTGTACTAAAGTAAGAAGAGGGTGGGTTTAACCTCACAATAGGTTTGCAATATGTACATAAAACGTACACTAAACGATTATATCTACACTAAAGCAAGTGAAGAGTGGAAGGAACTGAAATATAAATTGTTGCTATCATTTTGATACAAAAGATAAGTACATCTTCAGTCCAGTGAGGCCATGGTGGATAATCACGCCAGTCAACCAAGGTTCACAGGCGATTCAAATGCTTGTCAACCACTTCCTAACACTGACTAAAACTTAAGAAATAGCAGCAATAACATGTCCTTTGTAACCCCTTCAACACGCCCACATTCGAACATACAAATTTCAAGCTTCAACGGTATACATATGATCTGTTTTTTCTTGCTTTTCTAAAAACTTTCAACGTTAGGCCTGTGCACTACAACAATGTCTTTCATTTAGTTAGTGACCGCAGATCTGCAACTTACAAATAAACTTTGGAAAAGACGGAACTACTAAAAGTAGGTCGCCCCCTGCGAAAACAATAATATATGAGCGAAATAATGGTACAATTGCAGAGAAATCCTAGATAGATTTGGTTACTAGTTATTATTTTCTTATAGGATTGTATTTACTTGGAGAACAAATAATTCCTCTCCTTTTTACTACTATAAATAAAGGCATTGTATAGGGGGATCATCACACATAGAGAAATCCCCACACTCTCTCTCTTTTGCCACACCCCTCTATTCTTTGTCAGTAAAATAAGCCACAAAAAACACACACTCCTTTTAGCTTCTTCTATGACCCTGTTAAATTCTATCTATTACTTTTGTTTGATATTCAACTCAATGATCATAAATTAAAAGAGATGTGTGAGAAACTAAAATGAATATGTGAAAATCACCTCCGATGACATTGTCTATTTTTCAAGCGTTAAGCTTTGGCTTTCTTTGATCAAAAGAAAAGGCTTTGGCTTTTGTAAACATACAGGTTTTTTCAAGCACATACGCTTGAAGGGTGTCCCATTCAGTTTGAAAAAAACTCATCCATAGATTCTAGAGAGATGTAACATTTAGCTTGTTAGTTATTGACATGACTGATTACTAAACTACATACCAACCACATTAATTAAACACATAAATTAACACTATGCTTCTGTTCATATTTTCTTATCCGACAGTATGTACAAAACTTCTCTATAACATTCACTCCAATGCAAGATTTACGATATAACAAAGTGAGATTTATAAGGAATTAACTTGGCTACTTAAAAGACGAGGAGTTTCTCAAAATACTTTTATGACCGATTTACAAAATTTCGTGTTTATCATCGAAACCGTTAATATTTTAAATCATTTTGTATAAATCATATATCAATAAGATCATGTAGTCATTTAATTGTTTAAAAACAAATAGACAGATTCTGTAAATGCATTACAAATCATATATCTATTTGTTACGAAAACAATCTTAGCTTTAATTGATCTCTTGGAGAATTTGATATTTTTAGAGCTATTAATAATATAAACAATTCTGATGATAAACAAAAGTTTTGTAAATCGACCACAGAGTATTTTGAAGATGAGGTCCTCGTCAACCATGAGTAGCTCAGCATTATTCTATTTAGAAATCCAATTCTCAAAGTTCTCCCTCATTGTCGAAGAGACGATTAGAGGCCTGATTTGCTAAGCTTATTGACAATCAATGGTAGTTATAAGGTATTAGAGGCTAATGGGGGGTCTAAGAATTTTTCATCATGGGGCTAATAAAGACAGGTGTCCACTCGGGCCTCTTTGAGGAGAAATTCTTACATTGATTCGATCGATGGTTCAAAAAAAATTTTTTTTTTGTTTTTTGAGGGGGGGACTTAATATTGGTTTGCTACTGATGTGCTTTTATAAAATGTAGGTATCATAAAAAGCTAAGTTCAAAAAATTGTTTGGTAAACATTTAAAAATAGCTTATTTTCATAGTTTTTGGTGAAAAAAAAAAGGCTGAAAACGTAAAGTAGCAAAAATGAGCTTATTTTCACAGCATAGTAGAAGCAGTTTTTTTTCAAAGCACAACAATATCAAACCAAATTAACAATGAATTAGCAATAATATGATTCAAAGTCGAGATCATGCATTCAACCAAGGTTCACAGGTGATTCAAATGCTTGTCAACCACTCCCTAACACTTTGACTAAAACTTGAGAAATGGAGTAAATTATATAAAACTATTTCAACTATAGGTTGAACAATATTTTCATTCCTCATGTTTTAAACATTACAATGTCATACCTTAAATAATAACATGGCAAGAGCGGGACCCACTCAATTGCCAACTGAAATAAAGAAATTAATTAAATATTAATAAATTATTAATTTTTTATTTAACCTAAACAAAAACTCTCCCTCGATCTCCCCAGATCGCGGGTCGTCCCCCTTCGTTCTCCCTCACTCCCTCCTCCGTCCCCCTTCTTCCTCGTCCTCCTTAAACACAGCCAAATTTCCTTCATCAAAAACATGAAACAACACCACGTAACATTCAAGACTTCAAAAATTGCAAAATTCATCAAAATTTTAGAGCACATTACATACAAACCCAGATCTGCCTTCAAAACCAATACATTCAATAACAAATCCACACCAATAAATTCAATTACAAATCCACACCAAAAGCACAAGCCAGAAGCCAAAAAATTATAAAATTTCACAGAAATCCAATCGGCGTCGTGAGGAGATAGAGAATTGCAGGCAATGTGTGCGAGGAGGAAGACTGAGAGCTGTATCAATGTGATGAGGATCCGCCATTTTCAAGAGCATGATCTCGACTTTTACTCTGTCTCGGCACTCACCATCTGCCCTCCACGCATTGCACACGTCGGCCTCCACTAGTCTCTCTCTACCATGGTCATCAACAACGGACCTTTCTCTAAAAATCCAACGGTATACATATGGTCTGTTTTTTTCTTGCTTTTCTGAAGTCTTTCAACGTTAGGCCTGTGCACTGGAACAATGTCTTGCATTTAGTTAGTGACCGCAGATCTGCAACTTACAAATAAACTCCGGAAAAGCCCGAACAACCAAAAATAGGTCGTCCCCTGCGAAAACAAGAATATATGAGCGAAATAATGGTCCAACTGCAGAGATGAGACTGAATCGTATAAATTGGGTAATAAATAAGTGAGTGCATGAATACAAGATAGGTTAGCATCATACGAATATTGGACCACGGAATCAATTCTTGCGTAATTGAAGGTTGACATTCAACGTAAAACACAGTTATACTGAGTGAGATAGGCATAGCTAATCCAAAACAGTAAACAGGTAAAATGTGAAGTGCACATGTAAGTGCTAAACTCAGCAATACTGCACAGAATTTACCTGCTTTTATATAGTTCAATGCAACCCTTTTTCCAATTTTTGCCTGTAAAGTGCTAAACTCTGCATGCAAAAAGTGTAGCAAGCAGCAAATAAAACATCTAGTAATGAGACCTGAAAAAGTAATTTTCTCACATTCATCACCGTCGTCGATTGACCCAAAAAGACCTGTTTTGTGCCAACCAAACACAGATCAGAGTACTAGAGACAATTTTATTTCAACTGAATTACTATCCTGATCTCCCAACAAGGGACAGGTCCAAGATTCAAAAACAACGATGGCTTAATTTTTTAAGCCAATTTTCCCCCCAATAAAAGCCTAAGAGTAGATATTGACTGAAAAATCTCTCAATTAGAATTTAGAAACAAAATTATAAACCATATTAGAAGAATAATAGTAGAAGACAAATTGGAGTATTAAGAAGAATAAAACAAGCAATGCTGAAGAAGAAACAAGTTAATCATAGATATGAATTGGGCTGGCTGGAACTCAACTAGCTTTGTTTCTAATTCTTAATACTAGGATGGGCTATAACCCACCTCAGACTTCCTGGATCTGTCCCAGACTCAAAAAAATACCCATTTAGTCTTACTGAAATGCCTTCTGCAACCGATTTTTCCCCTCCTGCACACCCTCCATTTGTCTAGCCATTCGATTTAATAAATCAAATTCAATTGGCCACAGCTTAAGTCAAGGACTATTACAACCAGAGCAAAATGTAGTGTGAATTTTCAATTAATTTTAAGATTACTTTGCCTATAAAAGTTTCAAATTTTGAATTGAAACCAGTGTTCATACTTTAACCCCTTCAAGTAAAGCTTAACCCTGCTTCTTTTGATAAAAGAGCTTTCAAAATATATAGCCTGAACAGTCTCCAAACCTCTGCTTGCTCGGGATTGTTTGAATGAACCCACTACCCCACTTCCTCGAAAGCCCCAAATAATTGCAATGAATTTGAAGGTATTAACACCGTTATAGCTTATAATGTAAGGATACACACAGCAAGCTATAAGGTTTCAGGATTGCAACAACTTATATGAGCAGAAAAATTAACACCTTAGTATAAGCATGAACACCAGGTTCTGTAGGTCCTACTGGGCTTCCTCTCCTCATAAACTCTCCCTCCTTAAAAATATAGAGCAGTGGTACACTGGTTGATAACTCTAAAGCTAATAACCTGTTTGACATGAAATACTGACAATTACTTTTACTAATATAAAATAAGGAAAACTAATGAAAAGGGCTTGAAAACTTTGAATTTTAACAATAAGGACAAAATAAAGGGTAAAATGAATAGTACTAGGATTGACTTTTTAGTGTAAAAATGTGGTTTTTCGTTAATGTGAACAGTACCGAAAGCTTTTCGTTAAAGTTCCCTATAAAATATTCATAGGTGGTACAAAATTTTGGAAGTATGGTTTGTTACCTCTTGAGAAGTTAATCTCTCGAGATATGAATAATACACTTCAATGAATTTCCGTGGCCAGCAACCAGAACGTTCTTTCCAGTTTGTAGTTGTGGTTCAATCTGCAATGTAATTTTTTGTCCAGGTACTTACACATCAACATGAGTTGAACCTCTAGAACATATACCCAGCTTTATATGGGAATTGTATGTTAAAATCAGATATTGGAACTTATCTGCCTACCTGTTCTTTAAAATAGGCTACAGCCCTTTGAGAACACATTTCCAAACTCTCACCACTGGGGGAAGGAATATCAAAACTCCGACGCCACTCATGCACTTGCTCTTTTCCATATCTTTCAGCTGTCTCCAGCTTATTAAGACCCTGTAATTCACCAAACCTGTAGAATACAACAGCTGGTAATGCTATCTTCTCAAATTTTGTTAAATCTAGGATGAATCGATGATAAGTTAATAATAAGAAAGTACATTCTTTTGTTTAATTGCCAAGCAGTTATAACTGGAATTGATTGCTTTTTAGTATCTCCACTGTAAATTTGACTCCATGTTTTTGCCTGTATACTCTCGTTGTGCACAACAATTGGCACCTGAAAAGCATAACATAGATGTTTTTGTGAATTTGATCTTCAAATAATAGTTTATATGTCTTTCTCTAAGAAAAAGCAGTCAAAGTCATAAGGTAAGCATAACGTTAGAATATCTAGAACTCTAGATATTAAATGGTATGGCCAAAAGTCGGCTTGCTTGCCCTCTTTCCTTTGAATCTGTCTTGTAACACTGTTTAACATTAAAATCACAAGTACAGTCAACCTGCCAGATCATAATCATGGTAACAAGCTTGTGAGTGCGGCAAGACGTTTAAACTGACCTCCATGGTTTAAGTAGCTAATACATGTTTTGTTGTTAAAGCTTCAAGGTTAGCATTGCAAAGAGTATAGATTAATGAGCTAAGGAACCAGATCAACAAAAATCATCATTTTCCAGAATGTGCATTATACTGGTTTTCTATGATCCACATCATACAGGCAACAGAGGGCTCTAAAAGTCCCTGCATGGTAGATAAAAGCATGAAACAAGAACATTTGGGTGGATAGTTCCAAGCAACATCAGTCAAAAGTCTAGATACAAAACGTCAAAAGTCTGGATACCAAATAAAAATGGATATAACTTCATATGAACGTCAGCATTTGAAGATCTTGTTGAAAAGGTTCATATGAACTTCTACAACATTTTCCAATCTCAAAATGAACAGTTGACTCTGTTCTATACATAAACGTTATAAATCAGTGGATGGCGACAACAAAATACATGTTATCTCTAAAATTAAAATATATGTTATCTCTAAAACTAAGTTCAAATCTTGCCATAAATATGATATTCATATACACTAACATATTGATGCTTAACGCCCTCCACATGTGTTGATCAATGAACCAATTATTTACTTAACACATTACTCCTTTTCATAGTAAGGATTCAGTATCTCGAAGGAAAAATTTGTGCAAATAAAAATCTCGAAAATTGAGCAAAGATACCTTCTTGCGGTGGTGTTGAGTCATGGCAAGCATTGCCGTCATCTGTGCACGAATAAGCAAAGATGTGTAAATCATATCTACAGGGATGTTGCTGATTCTCTTACCAGCTTCTATTGCTTCATCAACACCTTTATTGGTTAAAGGCATGTCAACACAACCGGTGAACAAATTCTTCTCATTCCACAAAGATTCAGCATGACGAATTAAGATCAAAGAACTTTCACCTGCAAACAAGAGTGTAGCCACAAGAATTAGCAGAGAACTCGCTGAGTCACACAAAAGAATAAACACACTTGATGTCTTTTGAGCATTGTTGGAAATACCGTGGGAGGTGGATAAAATTGGATCAGTTGTCGAAGCTTGAGAAGACGATGAACGAATTACATGCAGTCTACATTGTCTAGAGCTACAATGTTCTTTTCTAAGCAAGCCAACATCGGCCGCCAAATTCTTAGAAATAAATCTGAAAGATGACTGCCTGCAATTTCTAGCAGAGCCAGTCTCACCAACAGAACCACGGAGCTGAATGACTCCAACAGGACGGCGGAAAGCCGTGGCAACCATTCTGATAATATCCAGAAAAACGCCATCATCAAAAACCAAACTATTTCATTTCTTTGGACAATGCAGAGTTTACAAAAAGTAAGAGAATGGAATATAATTCCATCATCAAGATCATAACCAAACATCATCATTCAATTGGGCTTTTTTTACATAAATTTACACAAAGTTGAATTCAATGAAAACACATAAAAGAAGTTCGGATTCATGGGAATAAAAGCTGCAGAGTTAGATTTCACTACACAGGACAGTGAGGACACAACCAACCAGCTTAAATGAAGAAAGTGTCCAGATCGAAATTTCAATCCAAAAATCTCACAAGAAAAAATAAAGAGGTAAACTTACTCACATGAATAGAAAATGGGTCTGTGACCTCTGGGAAATTTGAAAGCTTTGGAGGGATCAATGCTTTGTGAAGGGTGTGGGGAAGGGGAAGGGGAAGGGAAACACATAATCGGAAAGAGGTGGCGGAACTCTTTTTCAGTTTTCCCCACTGCAAAAACTCCACTTTTTACCAACCCCTACCGCAATGACCTCGTAGACTCGTAGTAGCTCCTTTTAACTAAGAGAAGATAATCCCCCTTTTTTTTTTTTTTTTCTTTTTTTTTTTTGTTTTTTTTCCTTCCCTTCCCATCTGTTTGGAAATTATATTTTCATTTCACAAAATGAATAAGATTACAATATGAGTATATATACAAGTTGTGAGCCAAACAAATCACAACACTTTCTAACTAAGAGAAAACTAACTATAACAGACTAACAGTTTTCCTTAGCCTCTAAGTATTATCCCTTGAAGATGAATTTACAATATTATCCTTAATATCCCCCCTCAAACGAAACTTGAGAGCTCGAAGTGGAAGTTTGTCACGGAGGAATAGAAATCTGGGCTTGGACAGAGACTTGGTACATATATCAGCCACTTGGTCTTGTGAGCAGATGAAATGAAGAGAGACTTGCTGTGCCAGGACCTGTTGGCGGATGTAGTGATAATCAATCTCTACATGTTTGGTCCGAGCATGAAAAACAGGATTCTTAGCAAGGGACAGAGCAGAGACATTGTCACACCAAAGTTGAGGAGAGCAAGGTAAACAATACCCAATATCAGTAAGCAGTTTACAAATCCAAGTGATTTCAGAAGCAGTGTTGGCAAGGGATCGATATTCAGCCTCGGTGGAGGAACAAGCAACAGTGAGTTGCTTTTTAGCACTCCAACTGATAAGAGAGTGTCCCAGATAGATGCAATAACCTCCAGTAGAGTGCCTATCTAACGAACAACCTGCCCAGTCAGCATCAGAGAAGGTCGTGAGAGAGGGAGGTGAGGAGGATTTAGTAAACCAAAGGCCAAGATCAATAGTGCCCTTAAGATACCGAAGGATGCGCTTGACAGCTTGAAAGTGAGACACTCGTGGAGTATGCATGAACTGACAGACAAGATTGACAGCAAAATTGAGATTGGGCCTTGTCCAGGTTAAGTATTGGAGAGCACCTACCAAGGATCGATACTCGGTAACATTCTCAAGAGGAGGAGAGTCATGATCAAGTTTGGAGGTGCTAAGGGGTGTACTACAGGGCTTGGCACCAACCATGTTTGCTTTAGTAAGGAAATCGAGAATGTATTTGGTTTGAGATAAGAAAATACCAGTAGAAGAACACTTGACCTCAATGCCAAGAAAATAGTGTAAAGCTCTAAGATCCTTAATGGGAAACATATCACTGAGTTTGTGAATCACATCTTGACAAGCAACAGATGAAGGACCAGTAACCAGAATATCGTCCACATAAACCAGGATGAATATTAAGGAAGGGTCTGTTTTGACAAAGAGTGAGTGGTCACTTTGAGAACCAACAAAGCCAAGAGAATGACGGGCAACATGCAGTTTATCATACCAGGCTCGAGGAGCCTGTTTCAGACCATATAAGGATTTATGGAGCTGGCAGACATGATTCGGTTTAGTGAGATCTGTAAATCTAGGAGGTTGCTGCATAAAGACCGATTCAGAGAGAGTACCATGCAAGAAAACGTTGCTGACATCAAGTTGATTCAAGAACCAGTCAAATTGAGTAGCTAAAGTGAGGAGAATACGAATTGTCATAGGTTTAGCCACAGGGCTAAAGGTCTCAATGTAGTCAAGACCTCCTTGTTGATGAAAACCCTTGGCAACCAGCCGGGCCTTATAACGATCAATAGATCCATCAGGTTTCCGTTTAATCCGAAAAACCCATTTACAACCAACAATGTTTTGAGATGGATGTGAAGGAACAAGAGACCAGGTACGAGTGTGTAATAGAGCAGTAAATTCCTCCTACATTGCATTGCGCCAATGTTGATGTTTGGATGCTTGGAGATAAGTGGTGGGAAGATAATCTGGTAACAAATGAGAGGGAAGTGGATGTTTAGTGGCAGTGAGGGCTCGAGGCCTGTGTATACCAGACTTTGAGCGGGTTTGCAGAGGATGAGTGTTCAATGGTGGTGGGGAAGAGGCAAGGGGTGGGGAATCTGGGAAAGAGGCAGGATGAGGAACAGGTTGATGGGATAGTACAGGATGAGGGGAAGGTGCAGGTTGAGATGAAATGGGAGGAATTGAGGTAAAAGTGAGAGAAAATGGTATGGAAGGGGTTGAGATGGTAGATGGAGGGTGGGAAGAGATAGAAGTATGAGGGAGAGTATGGAATGGAAAAGTGATCTCATCAAATAACACATGTCGAGAGATGTAAAGTCTCCCTGTGACAGGATCAAGACATTTGTAACCTTTATGGTTGAGATTGTACCCCAGAAAAACACAATGCTTGCTCTTAGCATCCAGCTTGGAAGAAATATAAGGCTTCAACCATGGGAAGCATAAGCAGCCCAAGACTCTCAGTCTACTGTAACTAGGTGCCTTCTGGAAAATAGACTCCCAAGGTGAAGGTCGAGATAGAGTAGGCAACCTATTTATGAGATAGATTGCAGTTGCAAACGCTTCAACCCAATATAGATGAGGGACTTTAGAGGCTACCAATAGAGTCCTTGCAGTTTCCACAAGATGGCGATGCTTACGTTCTGCACATCCGTTTTGTTCAGGGGTGTAAGGACAGGATAACTGACGTTGAATACCATGCTGGGCCAGGAAATTGGAAAATGGATTACTCATGAATTCACCACCAGAATCAGATCGCAAGGCAATAATTTTTGTGCACAGAACATTTTCAACCAAAGACTTATATTGCATGAAACAAGAGAGTACATCAGGTTTGTATCGCAGAGGGTAGAACCAACAGTATCTGGTAAAGTCATCCACAAATATGACATAGTACCTGAAACCTTCCTTAGAAGTAATAGGGGAGGGTCCCCAAACATCTGTATGAATGAGTTCTAGTGGTTTCGTTGTAGTACTAATGGTAGATACAAATGGCAACCAAGAACATTTGCCTAATACACAAGATGAGCAAAGAGAAGTACTTTTATTCTGTAGCATAGAAATACTAGAAGTAGAAGCTAGCTTATTGAGAATGGCGACAGAAGGATGGCCCAACCGTCCATGCCATAGAGTTCTGGAAGCTTTGGGGGCAGCAGTGAGAGCTAGATGCCCTTCCCTCTTATTTGAAGGATCACGGTTAAACCAGATCAATATCTTATATTAGTTTTTTATAGGAAAAGAAAAACAAAATAGAGAACGTGAGAAGAGAGGATGAAAGGGAATAAAAAAAGGAGAGGAAATAATCATAGTCCTTTAATCTAATTCACAAAGAGAAGTGAATTTTACACGCAATAACTTCACTTTTCTCAACAAATCATTGTGTACTATAAACACTTATTTGACTAAATAAGAGATAACTATAGCAAGTTATAACTGAAACGCAGTAATTCTCTGCACTTATAAATAAAAGGTTATAGGTTTGAAATTAATAAATAATGAGTTAATCGCAAACAATTTATTACTGCAAAACACATTGCCAGACAAAAAGGTTTTGTCGTGTCAAAGTGGTTTTCTTCGCTATGAACTTTAGTCGATGGAAGTTCGTTGGTAAAGATTAGTCGAGCAAAACCTGTCGCTTGAGGCCTTTTTCAACGAAAACACAAATTCGTTGGGCGAAATAGAGTTTGCCCAACGAATAGAGTTGTTGGTGTGGGACCTGATTTCCAACAACCTGAGTAAGGTTGATTCGAATAAAGTTACCTTAGAAGTTTGGACAACTCCGAGCGAAGTTGGATCAAACGGAGCAATGGTGACACCATCACCCTATTCTGGGGCAAATGGCGATGTCTGAGCGACTTCGCTGGATGTCCATGCTTATTTCGCAAGACACGCGATCTGATCTAGATATGGACTCAATCAAATCCTTATAAGTCTTGGAGTTTCTACAATCTAGGAATTAGCGTGTGTCGTAAGTAATAATAACTCCTAAGATGGTGCAATATCTACTTTTAGATATCCTTTAAGATTCTTCCGGCTTTGAACAAGGATTTTATCCTAAAAAGGTCTTGTTGGAACCAAATTCGTGCACTGTTGTGAGTAGTGGTTGTGCATAAACTCGAGCAACCTGCAAAACAATAAACAATCATGAGCAAGCCTAAAACTGTAGGGATAGGGTGTCGGCTAAAGGCTCTTCGAGAATCAAGTTAGTGAATAATTTTAGACTCAAACAGTGGTCAAGAAAATTGAAGTGTTTAGATTGTATTACCAGAGATGAAGCCTAGATAGATGTATTTATACCTTTAGGAGAGAGACCTTTTTAGGATAAATTCCTCATTTTAAGCTGGGAGAATCCTAAAGATATCTAAAAGTAGATATTGCACCCTCTTAAAAGCCTGATTACTTGCGGCGTACGCCAATTCCTAGATTGTAGGAACTCCATCTGATTGGGTCCGTATCAAGACCAAATTGCGTGTCTCGCTGAACAAGCATGGTTATCTAGCAAAGTCGCTAAGACTTTGTCTATTGTCCCAGAATAAGGTGATGATGGCACCACTACTCCATCTGATCCAGCTTTGCATGGAGCTAGTGAGTCTATGACCAGACTTCTGCGGTAGCTGTATTCGGATTAGCCTTAATCCAACCTTGGTAAATCATGGTCTCATAATTGCCCCTAACAATGCATCTGAGAGGCAACCCGTTCCTCATTGAGGGTGTATTGTTATCCAAAGACCATGTCTTTCGGAGTAAGCTAGAATACATACCATTTTAGTCTTCAATCTTTATTTATGTCTAATTCGACTTTTGGGCCTTGAAATGGTGGCGTTTTGGATTTAGACGTGCGATCTTGAATATTGTGCCATAAAATTTGTAATGATGAGACTTTGCGATGGTGGTGTTACACAAAAAACAAGAAATATTCTTCAATATTCGACAACTAAATGATTCACTTGCTGTCGCAAAAAAGGCTCCAACTCTCTTTTCGTACTAATTTCAAAATTCTCCTTGTTTTCTTAAAAGTCTTATCTATGGCATCTTCAAGCAAGAGCACCAAATCACCCAGGATTACGCCTTACAATCTTCCTCCAATGAAGGTTCGCAATCAGGAGGAAGGCCGAACCTTTGATGAAAACCATCGAGATCTCTTGGGCCAATGTAGAGTCTGGTGGGAGTCGGCCCATGATATTCATGCTACACTCCCAACGCCGTCTGAACCCCCAGCACCAAAATTTATCCTTGGTTCTTAAACTTGGGCCTTTGTTTCCCTCTTTCTGATTTCTTGAAAAGTATCTTGCCTTTTGTTATGACTTTGTCATCTGCGACATTTCTCCAGCAACCTTCAAACTCGTCACGTGTTTTGAATTGCTAAACCAGTGGTATGGGGCTGGCCTGGGCATTCAAGAATTTAGAATGCTGCTTATCATCAGGATGGGTTTCGGCGTATGTCACTATTTCTTAGCCAGACCTAGTCTCGTTTGGGATTCATACATTCAGGATGTTCCTTGCCAGGATAGCGATTGGTTTAAGAACATACTGGTCGTCGATGGAGATTGGGAGGGCACGACAAATGAAGTTAGGGTTAGAGCTCTCCCTTCTCTCAATCTAGAGTTTAGCAACGAGTTGGCGGACATCAGGGTGTACCGTCCATAGCTGATCCACCAGCCAATGTGGATTTCGTCGTTCATCATAATTGGAAATGGTTTCTTTCACCTGAATGCATCATATTGGTTGGTGATATCGCCTATCAAACCATTCATCTTTCTTGGATCTACTAAAAGATCATGTTTTTAAAAAAAAAAAAAAAATAAAATAAAAGGACGAAATCTGGTGAGGAGTATGGAGAGTAAAAATAAACCACAATCGACGATTAAATATACATCTAGGGTTTATGGATTATGTTGTCACCAGATAACGACCCGACTAGTTAACGTGTTTACACGAAACTCGTTATTTCTTGCAGGATTAACAGGTCGTGCAAGAAATTGCCAAATCTAACTGTATTAATCACATCCCTGCTTGACGAAAGCCCTATCATTTTTATGTTTCATTTTTGTAATTCATTGTTGTTGAGGGTAATTGAGTCTATTTTCTTGGTTATATTTGAAAGTTTATATAATAAGTGACATTTGTGAATTTATGGGCTAAACTTTGTTTTTTTTTTTGTTTTTATATGAAAACTGTGTTTAAAGATGAAGCTGGATCCGTATTGAAAGCCACAAATTAAGTGACCAAAGTACATATATTTAGATGAAACAGAACATTAAGATAGAAACATTATAATTGTCCACAAACTAAACAAACTTGAAAAGAAACTAATACCATCATTGAGATCAATGATAGGCATATACGTATAGCAAAGAACAACATAACTTAACTCTAAAGTGAGGCCACATGGACTAACAAGAAGCTAGCTCTTCTTCTATTCCTGCTGATCGTAGTTCTTGTATTGCTCGAGGATTTTTTCACAATCAGCCAATGGCTCGTCCTTGAAGAAGCCCATGTTATTTGCATAACGCTTGTCCTTAACCACACCGTTGTAACGGGTGACTACAACGTTCGCACGGCTGCGTCCAGGATCTGCCGATTTACAGTCACTTATGGGACTGCTAACAAGTACAGACTTACAAATTTGGTCTTCATGGTCCTCTTCAATCAAAATGTTGTATGTTCCAGTCGAGTCAGTCTCTCCCTCCACGCTGTATGCAAGCTGCAAGGTGTTCCTGTCTTTGCACTCAATTCTCACCCTTGCACCTAATAACAAGCACATCGCAACAGACAATACGCATATAAATGTTTTAGGAAAATAACTGTTATAATACTGTACACTAAGAAACTATTTATATTTTCTGATCCCATTTGATTGACATATAACGTGGTGAGCTAATTATGTGATCATAAGATATGTATGCCAGGCTACTTATCATTACAGGTAAGTTTTAACATATAAACAAAAATCAAATCAGTTTAGAAGGACTACCAGAAATGTAATTCGTGGCAGTCGTCTCAAAACCGCATCGGCAAGTGTCACAGTAGACGCGACCTTGAACGTGGAAGGGATTGCCCAACGTGCGTGCGCTAACAAGCCCCGGAAGCACGCAGAGAACCAACAACACGACCACCCTAGACATGGCCATGGCCAAGAATATTATTTTTAGCAAGGCTGAGACAAGTGCCAAGAGAGGAGGGAAAGGCTAAGTGAAATCGAACGTGAAGAACAAGAGTGGAAACTATGGAATGAAACGTAATGCATTCACACACACACACACACACATATATATATAGTGAGGCTATTGGACTTCGGAGGAAGGGAGGGAGCACATACACTACCAGTCACATGCAGAGTCATTGAAACAAAGAGAGTCTTGCGGGCCATTTCTTATGCCCTCTCCTCCGCAGTTGGCATTAATTTCAATGTGTAAGATGAGATCCATTTCGTCCTTCCAATATTATTGTATAATTTGTAGGACATGAGGGATTATAAAACTAGAACCTATGTTAAATATATATTGCATGCGAAAGAACGGAGAAAGTCTTACCCATGTTCGTTCACACGTCCAATTAAGTAGCTGCCCCATTGCCAGTACAGAGAAACATTTAGTTTTATTAGCTACTGTAACACCGTTATGTACTGATGCTAATTGGTGCATGTTATAATAAGCGTATATTATTCACACATATATAGAGCTTGAAATATAAATATGTGTTGCTTACTCTTGTTATAATAGATTAGATTAGTAAGACAACATGACATTTGCGGTTATATAAAAAAATTCACTATGAATTTAATTTTTATTATGTAAAAATACAAATAAAGTAAATGCATAATAACTTTGTAAGACGGTGAAACAAAGACCTACAGACGCTCCGGTTATACGATGTGATTACGAGATAGAGACTTAGGACCAAAGGAATAGTGGATGGCTTAAGAAGACTTGGAAAGAGGCTCTAAGTAAAGACTTGAACCACTTGGATCTAAAGGAAGACGTGACACAAAACTGAGCGCAATGGCATTCTAGGATTTATATAGCCGACCCCACTTAGTGGAATAAGACTTTGTTGTTGTTGTTGGGTAACTATGGTGGAGGGGAATAGTGAAGAATACCAAAGTTTTAGAAGAAAAAAGGAACCTTAGAGGGGAATATAAGATCCTACACCTTTTAAGCTACAAGTGGTTAAGTTGAAAGCAATAATGTTGTTAGATTATTTAACCTGTCTCTTTAAAATTTTAACAATTGTTTTTCTTTTAATTTCTTTATCCTTCAAAATATCCAATAACTACTATCCATGGAACTTTCATGTTTCCAAATTCCAAAGAAGTGTGAGTGGGATGTTTTTCTTCTTCCTCTTTTGAATAGTACTTCATATATAAATATATATATATATATATATATATATGTATGTATGTATATGTATATATATATATGTATATATGAGGCCTCAAGAAATGGATCTCCATTTTTTTATAAAAATGGGGATTAGTAGTGGGGCTCATCAAATCGAACTTTAATGATTCAAACCGTCTATTTTTTAATAGCACTTCATAGATCATCCTTACAAAATATTAGCCAAATCAGAAATATTTGAGGCATCTAATTGAGTTCAAAGAAATTGAAGAACACTTTGTTCAAAGAAAACGTTGAAATTTCATTGTCATAATTAAACAGGCAAATGATTTTGGATTGAATTAAATTTTTGCAAGGATGATCTTTGAATCAAGACTTACAAAATAGATGGCTCAGATTATTAAAGTTCAAAGTGGAATAGGCCCCACAACTCATCTCCATTTAAAAAAAAAAAGATGAGATCCCTTATCTATATATATAGTTTTTTTTTTCAGACCCCTTATCTATATATATATATATTTTTTTTTAAATAAGAATTAATTGTGGGGCATATACCACATCGAACTTCAACAATCCGAACTGTCTATTTTCCAAGTCGCACTTCATAGATCATTGCTTGCAAAATATTAGTCAACTCGGAAATATTTGCGACATCTAATTGAGTTCAAAGAACTTTGTTCTATAAGAAACAATGAAATTTGGTTGTAATAATTAAATATGCAAATGGTTTCGGATTGAATTGAATTTTTGAAAGGATGATCTATGAATTAAGATTTACAAAATAGAAGGTTCAGATTGTTGAAGTTCAATGTAGAGTGAGTCTCACAACTAATCCCTATTTCTTTCAAAAAAATAAGAATCCCTTTCCTTAAAGGGCCTTTGTGTGTGCGCGCGCATGTGTACACACACACACACACACACACACACATATCATGCATGTGCATATGATCGAGCTAAAGGAATGGATGGAAAAGCATTAATATTAATAGGCTTTTTAGCCAAAATAGTCTTTGAGATTTACACAACTCCTCACTTTAATTCCTGAGATTTGAAATAAATACAAGTGGTCCATAAGATTATTCACTATCAATCATTTTGGTCATTCCGTGAATAGTTATGTTAAATAAAAATTAAAATGACAAAACTACCCTCAGTTTAATAAACAATAGGCTAAAATGATTTGACAAAAATTGACGGTATTTTTGTCATTTTATCTTTATTTAATAGAGATTTTTCATGGAATGACTTAAATGATTGGTGATGGACAATCTTTGAGACGAATTCTATCGATTTCAAATTTTAGAAACCAAAATAAGAAGTTATGCAAATATCTAGAACTATTTTGAATAAAAATCCATAGTAATATATAGAAGAATCCTATTATTATATATGATTTTCCAATGCAGACCCGTGTAGAAAGAAGTTGCAAAATATTAAGAGGAATTCTATTGCGTGTTGTGTATCCAAGAGACAAAATCGTTGTATCCAACATCTTATATTGATTGCTGAATTAATAACAGTTCGTTTTACATACATTGTGGGGGATCTTTCACACGTCCAGCGAGAAAAGCATGTGCGTGTAATTAGATGCAGTGCTCGTTGGGTGTGGACTCAGCAACCGGTGTATAACTATTCACACCACATGGGATCTAGTAATCTATATATCGGGTACTGTTTCTATTAAGATTCAACTCCATCTTTCAACAATCATGAGAGTTTATATATATATATATTTGTTTTTATTTTTTTTCCTTTATTTTTAATTTTTATCAATGTGCATTTTTAATTTTTTTAATTAAGGAGTACTTGATGAAATTGATAGGAGGTGGAATCTCATGCAATAATATGTAGTAATAAACTGTCTGGTTCCTATTCCTGAAATTCATACGCGGCGGAATCTCCTGCAATAATATGCAGTAATAGATTCTATATTTCCTATTCCTATGTAGGACCACCCCAGACTGACATTCATGTATAACAACAATTAAACATACAGTTGTCTCGCATAAACACTTGACTAATTACACAATGTTAGTCAGGCAAGTAATTAATAGGCAAATAACTAAACATCACGCAAGATTTGTGCCCGGAAAACACATAACTGGGTGAAAAATCGAGTGAACTCTAAAGAGCTCCAGTCACTAGCAGAATATCAAGTTCATACAATTATCATTCAAACACAAGCTCAAGCACGACATCAAATGACGGTCTTCACAACGATGACAACTCAAGCACGAGCTCTTCACTTGTGGCACCGATGAAAGATGAAGATCCAACAACAGCATAAATCTCCTCAATCGAACATCAACAGACTAAGAAGATTTAGAAGGAATATGTACCAAGAGTTCTAAAGATAAGAGCTATAAGCTGAGTTACTAAAATGAATGCAAGGACTGAGATATTCTTAATTAGAACGTTTCAATCAAAATGCAGAGATGGGTTCATCAAGGTTCATCAAGGACCGAGCTATAAGCTGAGGTGTGGCATGATACGTCCAGCGTAAAAGTCAGGTCGCGTGACAAGTTAATTACGCATGTACAAACTTGACTAGGCATGAAACACAAATGCAGATTGTTATGCAATGCATGAACCAAACGTGAATTCCTAGGAGAGTAAGCCTTAGTCTTCATCATCTTGCATCTTCTAAGAACTCTATTACTATGCTAGCCCTACGTTGAGGTTGGTGTGATAATAGAAGTTTAACGTTTACATTTTGGATCAAGGAAAGCCAGACTTAGCTAAGACCTAAACTTAACATTTGATCTCTCTAAATTATTATTACTTTGGGTCATGTTTATCAACATTGTCTCTAATGTGAAAGGTAGGTATTGTTCAGTTTGGTTTCGTTTAGACCTTAAACTACACAACAAAGAAGTGAAAATTACTGGGTTGCAATGCCATCCCAATACCCAATGAGGCCTAAGGTGAAAATTACTAACGAGGTATCATTTTAATATTTATATGTAAATGATTAATTAACTTAGTTTGAACCATCTACACCTTATGTCTACTTCTTTACCTTTTATCTTTCTACATATCATCTTCACTTGATGACCCAAAGCACCCTTACAAATTCAATATACGACATTTTACATTATTCCAAAGTTAACTTAGTTGTGTGCATCAACATGTACCATACAACTTATTTGTGTGCATCAACATGTACTAGACACATTTTCAATGTTTTCATTTTTAAAAACAATTCTCGGATTAAGTTACCAGATGCATTCTCAAATCACAAAAATGTAAAATCTTATTTGTCATTTTATTTTTGTAAATAGTTATTCAAAAATTGTTTTGTAAAACATTACTGGGAATGGACACTAATTTTTTTATGAACCAAATTTTTTTTTCTGTGAATTAGAGAACTGACTACCCACATTGCATCCTCAGATTGAGTTGTACTATCGTAGGGTCCTTTTAAGCATATTAAGATAATTTATACTTATTTTTTAACCTAATAGATGGACCTTGAGAAAGCGTACAAAAGTATGAGAAGATCAAGACATTGGGTTTACAAGCTAGCCCAAGTAATCCAGTAGATAGAGGTTATTGCAACAACAGAAGACGATCGCCATCAATGACCGCTTCTAGCATGGATTGTCTACATACAAGAAGGGAAAAACGTTGAACCTAAAGTACTTTTTGACCGCTCAAGATAGTTGGTTGACCTGACAACTTTCTAACATAACCTGTAAGAACAAGTATGTTCATATTTCAACTCTGAGCCACGCGTTGGCCATCAACAGAAATAGGAGTCTATGAAGAGACATAACCTGTAAGAACAAGTAGTTTACCCGAGCCACACGTTGACATGTACACATGGCTATTTGCATGGGTAGACATGTTTCAATCACAGCATTTATCCATGAGTGGTTGGAAAGTAGTTTACCCGAGCCATGCGTTGGCCATCAACGGGAAAATTGGAAGTCCTTCGATTTAATCAGTCACTTACAAAGACTTGAGATGTTGTGTTAGTGGTCGAACTACAAGGAAAAATATAAGATAAAGTAGCATTTAGCCTTTCCTCCTGATTAATTGTCTTGACTGAATTAGTGACCACAAAGTTGACATGAGTCATGTCCTTCACTGTCACATCTCAATATAACAAATTCAGCTGGTTAACATCTGTTCGAAATTCAGAAAGAAGAACCATGCTAATCTCCATGTTATCTAAAAGTGAGGGTCTCATGGTATCATCTTGATCCTCCTCAGCCGAGTTTAACACAACCCTCTTGTCTAACAAACTAAATTTGGACTCGGTTGCTTCTGATTGAGCTTTTTTGCACATTTGGCATTGGAAGACAATCTTGGCATCCAGAGCGTCTAGATATGAATGAAGTCGCCTGACTCGTTCTACTTCCTTCTGCGTTAGGTTGAACAATGTGATGACCGATAACACTTAAAAATACCAGAAAGGTATCCCTGCACTCTGGATTTGCGCATGTGTTGGAAACTGGCTAAAATAGTTAGATCTAAATTCCTTTGGATCATGGCATCTTTGGCCGCAGGACTAGTCAAAGCCATGTCCATACAATCTTGGCATTCTTTGGGAAAACCATACCGATCGTTGGCCGAACTCACCTACGGTGTTGAACCTTGACCAAGGGTTCCTATGGGGGAATCAAAGGAAGAGCTTTCTTGGCGAAAGGTTCAATCCTTGCTTTTAACTTGTCTAGCCAAAGTAATAGCTTGATCCATTTCTTGGATTCCTCAATTTCAATTTCCATTGTTGGAACTTGAACCTTTTTCCCTTCGGCTATCTAGTAAGAATTGTAGGGACTTGTTCCACATAATTTAACTCAATTTCTGCTTCCGGCTACCATACATGAGATGCTTCTTTTTTAGCGTTGGAGACTTCGTTTGGAAGATGATTTCTGTGTTTTGGACCTTGCATTATATGCATCAGTCGGAAGATTGTGTTTATACAACTGAGTATATGTTGGTTTCAATGGCTTGAAAGTCCTTTGTGTAGTTAATGTGCTTATGTCACCCACCTGGGTGTCTTTATCGTAAAATGCTT